TCCATAAGCCAGTTGCTCTTTGTACCTATCAGAAGTATTTCTTGATCCACAGACTAATTTCTTCTTAAAAGGCTGCAACTGGAAGAGGGGGCAGAAAGATTGCAAGAGCCAAAGGTGGTGGATGACCACAAGGAAACAGAGTTTTCCAGACAGCTGGTCAGTTACACATATGAACTCATAACAATGGTGAGAGCATGTACAAGTCCCATGCAAGTTCAAACCAGACAAAATCCTAGCAGAGACATGGGGAAGTAGGTAAGAAATTCTTACCCAACCTAAGGAACTTTTGGTAACTGATGGCTGTTGGGAGGAGAAGAGATAGCCTCATATATAAGGATGGGACTCTTGGTAGGTTAACCAGGCTCCCGTGGATGGACCCACACTGAAGGACATGGATATGTGGGGACAGAAATCAGTCCATATATATATATAAAATTGGGAGGGGGCATGAGGACGTGCAGATGGGGGGAGGGAATCTAAATATCATTAAATTATATTGTATGAAAATCACAAAAATTCAATATTCTTTTTAAAGAAAAGTAAAAGCACACCAGGCATGGTCGCCCATGCCTTTAATCCCAGCCCTCAGAGGCAGAGGCAAGCAGATCTCTGTGAGATCAAGGCCAGCTTGGTCCACATAGTGGCTTCCAGGTGGACTGGAACTAGGGAGACCCTATTGAAAAAAAGAAAAAAGTAAAAGCTGCCTTGCCAAGTTTAAAAAAGAAAAAAAAAAAAAAAAGCGGTAGCTGTCTCCACAAGATAATTGTTTTTCTCAAATCTAGGTCTCACACTCCAAAAGGAGTGCCAACACGTCTTTTTATTCCCCCATATTATTATATTGTTCCATAGCCCAGGAAATAATTTCTTGTTACTGTCAGGCATTTCCAAGAGAACCAGAAGGGAAATCAAACAGGAGGGGGTGGAGAAGCAGACAGTTGGGCTTTGCCAAAGTAGCAACCCTGGTGAGGTAGCGGTGAAGTGACCAGGGAACAATGGGGGAAAAAATGAGTGTAGGGGCTGGAGATGGCTCAGTGGTTAAGAGCAATGGCTCCTCTTAACAGAGGATCAGGTTCAATTCCAAGTACCCACGGGACAGCTAACCGTCTGTAACTCCAGTTCCAGAAAATCTGACACCCTCTTCTGACCTCCACAGGCATTGCACAGCACAGATGCACTTACACACATGCAGGCAATGCACTCATATGCATAAAGTAAAAAATAATAAAATATTAGAAAAGAACTCATGAAATATTTCAGTCTTCAAAGGGAAAAGAAGTTACTGATTAGAAAAACAGTTTAATTAAATTGACTACAGGCAATGCTAACATTCAGAAGTGCTGACCACTGGTGTGGCTGTGTCCAGGAGGGGTCACGTAGCTGTGCAGTAAGCCTAGCCAAGCTGTGTGGGTCTCTGCATCTGAGAATTGCTCTTGTAGTATCACCTTACCACAAGTTAAAACTATGAAATATTTTTAAAAGTAAAGCCTGCAAGGTAAATGGCTGCTGCCCCGCTCATGGGAACTGCCTCTCAGTAACTTTTTATTACATTCATTGGGGAAAATATGTGATAATGGTATGTGGAGATTCAATTTGTAGTGGGCCAAAGGTTTGTAAATGTCAGGGGTCTTATAAAGAAATGAAATGAGTCTTGTGCATCCTGTGTGTGTGTGTGTGGGGGGGTGCATGCCATTCCACCAGCTGCAGCAGCTGCAGGCTCCCATGCTGAGATGCTTCAGCTGATTTTCCCATACTGAGTAGCCAGATCCCCACCACGGAAACAATGGCAGTCTGACCAGCCAGCTGATAGAAAGGGGTCGTGTATAGCTTTGGACCTGGGATTTGAACAAATGAGTTTACACATGAGCCACAGGCAAGCCTAGGCAAAATCTAGACATGCCAGTGGTCCTGACCCTATGAGGCTGGTGGTAATACACAGAGTAGGTTCCTTTCTCCACTTCTCATGATTGGATTCATCAGAAGCTCTCAAGCAGGCCTCTGGGTTCAGGTGTGGATGTGGTCTTGGCTAATTTGGCCAGCTGTGATTGGCCCTGACATCTGTAGCTGGGCTGGGTGGAAAGGTTCTGTCTGTCTGATCTTACAGGAAAGAGCAAGGAGAAAAGCAAAAGGTTAAGTACGAGAGTGGGGAATGAGGCTTCCCAGACTCTGTGCTTCCAAAATATGTTTGCAGGAAGGGTAAGTCATACTGTCTGTTCTCTAGTTTAGTGGATTGTTAAAAGAGGAGATAATGTTACTATTTTATTCGACTCTACAGAAGAGTGTTGCAGTTTTATCAGAATACATTGTTTAGTTTTCTAGATATATTGAAGAGCTAGGAGATTACATTAAAGGCAGTGTAGCCATATCTTATGGCTTCATTAATTATAATACCTAGACATAATTAGGCTCCAGCTAAAAATAGCAGTTAAGATAGAAGACCATTCTGGAAAGGAGAGAAAAAAAAGAGTTGAGATTCTGAGAAACTGAAAGAACATGAACAGAGGGTGTCCGCTGGGTCTCAGGCCCAGCATTAGCGCCAAATACCCCTGTTGCCAGGAATGACCCTTTCTTACACAGATACTGGAGTCAGGTGCTTAGGACTGTGTTCCCTTAACCCCTTGATTTCATTTTCACTTTGCGTTTGGTAATTCTCCACAGACGGACATAATCAGAAATATCCTGTACGATTCAGAAGTAATTATTTAGATGCTTGGGAGTTGAGCCCATTCATTTTTAATTAATAGATCCTTTTTTTAAAGCAGTTTTAAGTTCCAGAAAAATGGATCAAAAACTGCAGTTTTCCCACATAGATCTTCTCCCCACCCTAGGCCCATGCACAGCTTGCCCCTACTCCTTACTAAGCACAACCACTCTCTTTTAACTATGTCTATAATTTTATAGTTACACTTACTTTTAAGTATCAGACAGGCTATTCCTAAGGAAGCATCATTCCTTTATTCATAAATTGGGCTCCCGGTAAATATCATGTGCCAGGTGGTTTATGCACCATGTTTTCAGCAAAGGACAAAGTGCGGGGAAAAAAAAGTTTCAGTCTTTGCAAAGCTTACCATCTAGTCCATCAAGCACCCAGACTCAGTTAAGTGCTAGGTAAGCATGAGGTGGACCCCAGGAGAGTCCAGAGTGAAAGAAAATGATTAGAGAAAGTAAGTTGAGAGTGGGACTCCTGCTCGCTCATGCCCCGGCCTCCTCGGGTCAGACCCTGCCTTCCCATTTTAATTCTAGAAATCTAGCTTTAGGATCTGCATCTCCTAGTCTCCAGCTGCCACCTGTTCTTCCCAAAGACCAGCTAGAGCTCAGTGCCATTTCCCAATTCACCCTCCCCTGTTGTTTCTGCAATTTGTGTCTGCATCTCAATTTCAGAGTTTTGTTAAACTTTTACTACCAGTTATCCATAACCCTGCTGGTGCTGATGAAATATGATAGAACATCTGCAAAGGCGTAAGAGTAGGTGCCCATGCTCCCATTTAAAGACTAACTGAGGGGTTGGAGAGATGGCTCAGTGGTTAAGAGCACTGACTGCTGTTGCAGAGGACCCAGGTTCGATTCCCAGCACCTACATGGCAGCTATAAACCGTCCTTAACTCCGGTTCCAGGGGAATCCAAAGCCCTCTTCTGACCTCCACAGCTTTGCACGACACAGGTGCACTCACATACATGCAAGCAGTACACTCTTACACATAAAATAAAAATAATAAAATATTTTTTTAAAGAGAGCAAAGAAAATATTTTTTAAAGACTTAACTGAATAAGGTCTTCTGCATTTGGGAAATGGACAAGCCCCTGTTCTCCCTCTGACGTACACATGTGGACACAAGACGACACCTTTAGCTTGTCCTGAGTTCCTCAGGCACTGTTCACCTTGTTTTTGAGACAGGGTCTCTCATTGGACTAGAACTTCACAAATAGGCTAACCTAGCAAGTGACCTGCTTGTTTCCACACCCACCCTTGCACTAGGATTACAAGTGTGTGTCACTGCACCCAGCTTTTCTTTGTTTAATATGAATTCTGGGGGATTAAACTCAAGTCCTCATGCTTTTGACATAAGCACATTATCACCTGAGCTATCATCCCAGCCCAAGGAGCCCAATTCTTTTTCTCCACTCTAAAAGACGAGGTTTCAGTGCATAAGAATGAACCAGGAAGGGAACAGAAGACCAAAAGATTCATTCATCCTCACCACCACTGGCTTCTTTCTAGTTCCTACAAGAAACACGCTTGCAAATCAGGTAAATGGGCCTGTGAAATGGCTCAGCAGGTAGAGGCACTTGCTGCCAAGCCTGGTGACTTGAGTTCAGTCCTAGGACCTACATGGTAGAAGGAGAGAACCAACTCCCACAGATTGCCCTCTGACCACACACATGCAAATGATTTTTAAATTTTTTTAAAAGAAAGTTTTTTAAAAATCAGGTAAGCAGATATACCACTAACCCTCCTCAGCAGGCTGGTTCTTACCAGTGGTGTGTCTTCTCCCAGTGACACAGCCAGTGGTGTCATGCTGATGACCTGAAATTGGCCGTGGTGGGAGTCTGCACACCTGGGACTCAGTAAGCACTGCTGTTAACAGTTGTGCTCATTTCTCCCTAAGCATACCACTTGATTCAGGGATTCAGCCCATGAACACTGTTAATTCCTGTGCTCAGATTCTATTCTTTGTTGTTGTTGGGATGTTTTTTTTGGGGGGGGGATGGGAGGAAGTTCTACCCAAAGTCAACAGGATATTTGATCCCATAAGCTCTGACAACTAGACATAGCATTTAGTTGCACAGATCTTGCTCCAGCTTTTGATTTCCCTTGGAAAGACTCAGGTGGTTTCATCTGTTACTACACTGAAGTCTCACCACAATACAACACTAAAAGTTGCTATTGCAGGCGTCAGGCCATGATCATAATTAACATTTCTTCCCCTAGATCCAGATTTGCTAGTCCACGAGTAATTAATACAGTGCTGCCTTTGCTGACTGGACCTTTTATGCCCACATAGGACTGCACATGCCAGAGCGAAAGCCGACGCTGCTGACCAAGCTGCACTGGCCGCCCGCCAGGAGTGCGACATCGCAAGAGCTGTGGCCAGGGAGCTGTCACCCGATTTCTACCAACCAGGTAAAACTCTTCTCCTTCTTTGACTGGGAGAGGTTCGAACACAGGCTTTGGTTTTCTTTTCCTTTTCATTTGATTTGAAGATCTGTATTTTATGAATCTCAGTAATAGCACAAAGAAAATATGAGAATATAGTAATAAATGTCCCCTGAAATCTGTCAGTACTAGGGAATCCTGTGACATTGTACCTCAAAATTTATAGGTACCTCCCACTATAACATTAGTGAGAGGTGAGCCAACAAGACAGGGTCTCCCTGTAGCCCCAGCTGTCCTGGAACTCACTATGTAGACCAGCCTGGCCTTGAACTCACAGAGATCCACCTGCCTGTGCTGGGATTAAAGGCGTGCGCCACCACACCCGGGATTGTTTTTTAAGTACCTGTGCTAAAGCCCAGAGATGTGTGATTAGGAGGTAGTGCAAAAACCACATAGAAATGTTAATCTGCACAGATCAAGAGGAGAATGCTTGTCATGATGTAGAAATGCAGACAACAGCATCAAGCAGTCTTATCATCTGCCTTGAAAGCATTAGAAAGTAGCAATTGGTAAATATTTGTAATATGTTTAAACATTTAACTCACTTTTTTAGTCATTTCCTAGTAGACTTTACTTTTTTTTAACAGGGTCTTATGTAGACCTCAAACTCACTGTAGTGAGGGATGATCTTCAGCTTCTCCTGCCTGTACCTCCTGAGTGCTGGCATTATAGGCATGGGCCACAATACCCAGCTTATGCACTGCTAGGGATCCAACCTAGGGTTTCATGCATGCTAAGTAAGCACTCAAGCAACTGAGCTGCATCCCCAGACCATCATTCCTTTCTATTTAATTTGTTTGTTTTCCTTTTAGACAGGGTCTCCTGTGTAGTTCAGACTAGCCTCAAACTCCTGATGCTGTTGCCACAGCCTCACAAGTGCTGACATTATAAGAGTGCACCACCATACCTGGTTGCTAAGCTATCTTTTTACAGACGTTTCTCCATTGTTTTAAAAACATCTTTTTACTAGTTGCTTTCAGAGATCAACAGATTTCTAAGTGAACAGACCAAAATGAATATTCCAAATTTCTATTAAAATTTCTGCTTTCATGATAAGCAATTTTCCATGTATTTTTATTTAGAAATCAATCAATATAACTAGTATCTGTCCCTAGCCTATCATCCTGTATAGTGTAGGTGTAAGTACATTGTCAGTTGCACTGACAGTGATATCTTGGAAACACAGGGCATCCCTGAGTCCTGATACACAAGGTTACACAAAGAGAACAGAATGGCCAGAGCCATGGGAAAACTAGAAACTGGCCTATGACAACAATTAAACAATTCAAGAAAATGAAGGTCTGAGGGTTTGTTCTTGCTTCCTGCAAAGAAAGAAGACAGTGGGGCTGGGGAGTGGGCGGAGTCAGGATGGTTCAGTCAGTAAACTGCTTGGTACACAAGCATGAGGACCTGAGTTGGAGCCCTAGTACCCATGTGGGAAAAAAAGTCAGGTGCAGCACATATCTCTAACTGTAGCCCTAGAAGAGGAAGACAGAAGACTGTCTGAGGCCAGCTAGCCACCTGGTCTAGCCAGCTGAATTAGTGAGCTCCAGGTTCAGTGAAAGACCCTGTCTCAAAACATAAGATGTAGAGATCGATAAGACACTTGACATCAATCACTGGCCTCAGCACTTATGAGCACAAATGCACACATGCACGGGGTACAAGGAAGAAAGGATATGGAAAAAAAACCATGTTTAGAACACCATTCTGTTTACTAAGACATCGGTACCTTGGCAGAGTGACTTTTTTAAGAGTTCAAGACCAAGGGAGGCATTCAGTGATAATGGGTGTCTTCCCTCATGTGCATCTGTCTTAAGCCTTTAAGAGGAATTTAAATCATTTAATATATATGTATATTAGGAAAGGAACCCTTTGTATTTTATGCAGTAACCTCTGCAATGAAATGAACTCAGTCTTCCCTGGTATCTAAGTTCCTTAGTGAATTAGCAATTCCAGAGTATGAGAACTATAGAAAGTCCAGGAAGCCAAGGGGGATCCTCCTGGGCTCCCAGCAGTGCTGCCATCTGGAGCAGGACAGTCCGGAGATAGTAGGCTCGAACTACTTTGCAAGCAGACAAACTTGCTATTGTTGTCTGCAGATGCTTAGTCTTGGTTCTCTTGTTAATTCTGCTGGGTAATGGGGTCCCTCTAGACTTCTATTAGGTGTAACCAAGAGGTAAATGATACTGAAAGTCATCTCAGTTTCTCAGACTGAATGATTTTTAAAAGCCTTTTATGGCAGAAAAGCATTTGAAGAGAAAGAAATATTGTGGGAAAATGTAATTCCAACCTTTCGTAGCTCAAACGGCTAGCTTCATGTAAGCAAGCTGTTCATCAGTAGTGAATACATCCCAGTAGCACTGGATGACAGTGAGCCCCTTTGAGACCCAAGCAAAGGGGAAAGCTGCAACCCCCTCTGACCTACAGCCAACACTGCCTTCAACTGTATAGAAAGCCTGTTCTGTACTGGGCATTAGGGATCTTCTCAAGGGAGCATAACTCATGCTTTCCACTCTGCATTTACAGGGTGATCGAATCAGATAGACATTTGCTAAAGGGGCTTTCAGTACTTCCCAGTGAGCCTGCTCATTTCATTCAGGTATCAGATACACATATGGCCATTGTTTGGCATGCATGTGCCTTAGCCCTTGGAAGAAGGGTCTTAGTTTAGCTTGCATTTTGAGTACTTTTATGGTAAGCTTCCTATTTTTAGGAGCTGGTAGTAATTTCAGTATTTTGATCATGGTTAAATCTTATTGCGCTACATCAAAAATCTCTTAATCTATGAGTCAGTTAAAAATGCAGGAGAAAAACATATCTATATGGGGATATTAAGATTTCAAAGGGTTAAGTTCTAACAATCTAGAACATGAAAAGGGATGTATGTGTTGGTTGCCTACACGCAGAGACCTAAATTGCAATCAGCATGAGTGATCAGTGACTTACCCACCAAGAACTTGGAAAGAACTTTGCCCTCAGAGAGTTCAACTTGAATCCGAGCCTTGATATTGCAGAGATCAGTCAAGTGATCCTCAGTGATAGTACACTTCTAAGGAGTTTCTTATAAGATGTCTGGGTATATGAAAACATCTATTAGAAAGACTCAGTCACCATAGTAAGTATAACAGAAAGGTGAGTCACAGAAGCAAAAACTGGCAGTGTCCTTCCACACCCTGTTCAGAGAGGCAAAGGTTGAGTCAGAACTTGGACTATTGTGGTCTCATTGGCAAGGGTATTTCTGTTATGGAGAAGGATGTGGAGCACTACCAGCAGTGTATGGCTCCACTGGCAGCATCGTCCTGACAGGAGATGGACACATGAGGCTAGTTCAGCCTGATGCCATTGCATAGTTGATTCATCTCATGCTCCTCACCAGTTCCACATTCACCAGGAACTCATGGATCACTGCCCTGGGACAGCATGTACTTGCTGGTGGTAATAGCACAAGTTGTGTGGCCTATGTGACCTTCAGATTTCTCTCTATAATGAATAGGCCTTGCAGTATGGCACATCAAGTCTTGGGAGCTTCATAAATGGGAGTCTACTTTAAGCAGTTACTACCTCAGTGTGCTGATAAATCATGTTCCTAAGCAATGAAGGCTGAGCTAAGGCTTTTGAGGGTGACTGAGAAGAAATAGAAGGGATTCGAAAATGGAGACCATTGCGAATCCGGATGCCTGGGTCTTCATCCCACTTCTGAGTCTCCTCTCAGTTGTAATGCTTTTGTGTGGAAAGGGTATATGCACAAGAGCATGTGTGGGCACAGGTGTGTGTAGACGCAAAAGGCTGATGTCAGCTGTCTTCTTTATGCCTCTCTACCTTATTTTTTTGATGTTGGGTCTCTCACTGAACCTAGAGCTTACCGATTTGGCAAGACTGGCCAGGAGCTCCAGGGATCCACCTGTCTCTTCCTTCCCAATGCTAGGATTACAGACACATACCACCACACCCAGATTTTTGTATGGGTACTGGGAATTCAAAGTCAGATCCTCAGGCGTGTATGACAAGCACTTTACCAACTAAGTCATCTCCCCAGCCCCTTCCATCAAGATTCTTATTTTGTTTTTAATTTCAAGTGATACTCAGGTAAAATATACAGTTTTTTATTTATCAGTGAGTCTGGGCATGGCTTAAAGAAATTGAAACACTGCCCTGGAATGTGGTGAATTTGTTACTTTGCGCCCTCTTGGGAGGGCCAGCCCGGTTCCCTAGGCAACATCTTCAAGAAGCTTTGTCTTCCTGTGTTGAAACATGTATATGCTCACACACAGCACGTTGATTATTTACAGTCACTAAGTGTTAACTACATTTGCATTTCTCACGAGTTAGAAGTCCTTAGAAGTCAAAGTATTTTTCATTACATAAATGCCTGTGCCCGTCATTAATATAGACTATTTTTGGTTAAGTAAAGGGAAATATCCAGGAATAGATGACTTCTGAGCTCACCTTCCCAAACCTAAAATTCTGAATGCCTTTTTTCATGAAAAAAGGAAACAATAATCCCCTAGTAGACATGGAAGTGGTGATTCATGAGCTCGCTGGTTATTCTTACTACTTACTCCCATATATTTGGCTCCACAAACGTGTCTTGAGCACCAGCCAAGTGCAGGGCGCCAGAGTGGACATCCCGCAGCTCACCACTGAGAACCCTAGCTCTGCAGTCACAGATACTGCAAGACTGTGGCAGATGGGACAGTAAGATCCTAAAGGAAAGCAGTGTTATTTCCATATGGAGCACAGAAGTAATCCTGGTAACTGGTTATGTCATCACTTTAGAACTTTTCGATCTGGTCTTCTTTTCTTGATTTGTCAGTCTTCAGAGAAAACGACTGATTTCTATGAATGATTCTTCCACTGCAGCAAAGCCTTTGATGTGGGTATTGCCCTCATAGACTTTTGTTTTGTGGAATGTTCATGGTTCTCCTTCTGTCCATGACCAGCCCAGTGAGGCTCACCTCTGAAAA